TGTTATTAATACAGAAAATTGAACAAAATAAAATGGCATTTTAGTATTTGTTAGAAATTCATTAAAAGTAAATTATGTCCATAGAGAATTTATAATAATTAAATCAGCATTCATGTTGAGTTCAAACAACTTTATTTAATTTTTATACAAAATTATTTAAAAAAAAAAAAAAAGTGGCATTCGGGGATTGCCGCGATAAAGCTATTGCATATTAAATAAATAAGAAGTTGATATAATATTAAATTTTTTATTATTATTCTAGTTATACAGAAGTTTGTATCATAGAAACTATAGGCCTATGATAACTAAAATATGAAACAWAAGTTTRAGATTTAATATTCTCCAAATATCTGGAAAATACGGCGTCGATGGTGGTCCCATATTTTGTAGTAGATTCTTGTGGATCATTATTTATACGTAAATTTAATTTTTCTAAGAGAAACGTTGTTAGTCGCTCTGATTTTTTATCAGCGAAGTTGATGTTGAAATCGCCAGCCAAGATAAGTGGAAATTTATTGGAATTTCCACCAAGTATTTTTGACCCTTCTACAGTGTACTCCAGTAAAATGCGATGAATAAAATATTCTACCTCGTCCAATTTTGGATTTGGAGTAATGTAAATGACTACAATGACTATTTCTAGGCCATTTTGCAGTTTGCATAAGCACGCACAAATATCTCCAACATTTGAGCGTCTAACATTTAAATCTACAACATTTGCCACATTTATATCAATATTTGGAGTCATAATATTGGTAGTATCATTATTATTATTTTGGTAGATGGCTACCSCACCTTTTGAAACAGTATCTCGTTTGAAATGAACGATGCAATTGAAATTAGGTATGTCGATAGGATAATCATTTGACACGCAAGTTTCCTTAGAGTAATACATTTGTTTGTCTAGTTACGGAATCTTGTAAATCRTATTTGTGACTGTTAAGACTTTGGCAATTGAAAGTCATTATTGAAACGCCATTTCTATTTCTAATAAAATCTAAGACACTTTGAGCTTTTGTCTGCACACAATTCAACGATAGTCTTTTAAATTCTTGCAACAATGAAGCGGTTGATGTAGCTTGCCTTCGATTATGATAAAATTTAAATGTAGAATCATCACTTGTCTCAATATACAAATTTTGTCTCATTACTGTGGTAAGTTGATAAAATTTCAGTTTTCTCCATAGATGTGGTCCAATCATGCTCGTTCTTGTAAATTGGTGTGGATCTTACCGGTGGCAACTGTCGTAAATTTCCAATCAAAATAACATCTATATCTCCAAAATCCGTGTTTTTCCCAGTGATTTGTTTTAAACGATTATCAATTTTATGAAGAAGTTCTGCACTAATCATGCTAATTTCATGAATGACCAGTACTCTGACATATCTGAAGAGAGATCGATACAATTGCAACGTCTCTGATGATAGAGGCAATAGTTTTGAAAGAGAAATTCGGAGARCAGTATGGATGGTTGTACCATCAATAGCCACTGCAGCTTTGCCAGTTGAGGCACACGTAATATACGAATTGCAGTGACCATCATTATCAGCGAATCTGTWGTAAATTTCCATTATCAAACTAATAACGAACGTTTTTCCTGTACCAGCCGGTAAAAAAAATTTGAAATGGTTCTTGAATTGAAGTTTTTAAGTGATGGATTATAGTCATAAGCAAATCTCTTTGTTSATCATTAGCCATTCTCATTAATTCATAGAATTGTTTGTAATCCATTAAATTCTCTCTTTTTTTTGCAATAGCACCAATTTTATGCAGAGTAGCATTTTGTAAATCAACGTTAGCAGTTGAGTTTGTATCACGTAGTAATAATTCATAAGGATCTCTTTCATGCAAGATTTCGACAGCCCTTAATAAATCTTCATCTTTTTGTTCTTCATCGGTTTCTCTGCATAATTTTTTGCAAATTTCCAGAGTTTTTTCCACGTCCAAATTAGATTCGAATTCTTTTCTACGTTCTAAAATGTTTTCTTTGTTATCGTCGTATATTTGAATGAACTTATTTTCTGTAATAATATCATTTTCTTCACTCTGAAAAGGAACATGCAACAAAACCATTTCACGCCTATAATCGTTGTAATTGTCAGCCATATCGTAGTTCCTGTATCTTATTATTTTTGCAGTATCTCGTTTTGTGTAGATGCCCTTGTTATTGATGTAATAGTTTGCAACAAATTATGCTAACGTAACATCACGGAGTTCTTCAGGTCGTTTTTCATACTTATCAACCAATTCTCTTTCCAAATGTTCGTACAATCATCATCCAAAGTTTCGAGTTCCTTCATAGTTTTTCTTATTCTGGCACGCTCAGTAGGAATTATAGTTGGAATATAGACTGTCACTACCGATGACTTAGCCATAGGTGTGCGTAATAAATACCAAGCAGCCTCCTGTGCCGGCATTTCAACAGACTGAAGTATGTCAATACTCATTTTTTTTGTAATATCAACAATGTCAAACTCTGGATGCTCATCCAATATATCAATTATTTGTCTTTGTAAATTACTGATCCCTCTATTATGCTTGTTGACATATTCAACAACATATTTTGCACAAGCATATTCATCTTGAATAATTTGAAAATCCATGTTTGATTTCAAAAGATGTAGTACAAATGGGTTGAAGTGTTATGCCATTTTTCTGTTGGGGTTCTTTTATAGAATAATTTTGGTCTGTTGATACCCGCACGAATAATATCATAGTAATGATCATCAGAAATAATATCATTATGCGAGTAAAAGTCATCAAAATCTTTAAAGTCAACATTTTCGAGATTCATTTTTATTGATTTGAAACGTTTCTTATATTCTTTGAAAAGTGCTTCAGAGAAATCGGGATCAGTGTCTTTCATAGGTATCAAGATAATAGTTTTTTTTGTTGGCATAAACGGTGCGCCAAATCTACATTCTTGCTTTTTATTAGGATCCATTTTTTTGTAACACGTAAATGTGTGTTTATGTGTTACTAGTTTAATATTTCCGGATGCCTCTGATGCTGACACAGAAACTAATTCGTCGATTAATTGAATTACTTCAGGATCATTGCTTAATAAATCTTCAGGAGTATTGTCCAGCCACAGAAGAATATGAGCGTGTGGACTACCACGGTGCTGAAATTCTATTCTGATKAAATAATGAATTACTTTATGTTTTCCGAATGCACTCCTTTTCTTCGATTGTAAAACTTTCATTAAACAATTCACTAATTTATAAAAGTAAATAGCACAAGTTACAGCATCTTCATTAACAAGTTGAGCTTTGTGCACATAACTCATTTCTTCTAAAAACTCATCCGAAATATCCGCTCCTTCGTTTTTCAATTTATACAATAATTTCAACAAATCTTTCCAGCCAGTTTCATTAGCGCTCAAAGTCATAAAAGCAGTCGGTGCTCCTAACTGTCTAATCATTGCAAAAATATATTTTTTCCGATTTGTCCAAAACCAAGCAGAGTTGGTTAGGTTAGAACAACGAAGAAATGCAAGATTGGTCTCTAAACAATTATTTATGTAACCTTCAGATTGAATAGTCTCTTTCGTAATTGAATTACCTTAGCCAATATACTTAAACGCAACGCTGACACATTGACTAACTTGTAGCCTCATGATTTTAGCAGGGAGGTATAAAAGGTGTTGTGGGTCAGTAGCACGCCTATCATTACGCCGAAGTTTACTGGTAGCTTTCATGAATGGAGTAACAGTGACACCATCCCTGTATGTACGAAACAGTGCCATAGATTGTTGGAAAAGATAGTTCTTCTGCATGTTCATCCATCAGAATACTGATTGGCCTTTTATATTCACCGGGTGCTATACTTAAAAAATAATCATCATTCCATAAAAGAGTTTGTTGCTGCGCTGTTAAGTTATCTTCAATAGGAACATGCTCACTTATCTCATCCATGATTAATTGTGAAGTACTTTCATTCTCAGTCATAAATGAATCAACGATTTTAATATCATGATAAACATAAAGAGGCGTAGATACTAAATACGACAAACACTCTTTAATATGTCTCTTATGAATGAGTCCGTGGAAATAACTGGTTTTATGAATTAATTTCTTTTTCAAATGCACATAAAAGCAATGATCATCTTCAATGTTTCTTGGCAATTGTTTCACCATTGTATTAACTTCGACAGGAACATTTATTATTTGACCGAAAATACCGTACTGACCATTAACGTGCCTCAGTCTACGTATTTGCATAAACGGTATTCTCGGTGAAATCAATCGTTGCTCAATAAGATTTAACGTTGGTAAATGTGATGGAATTTTCGGACATGCAAAACCATTGTAGGTTGACATGAGAGGAATTTTTCTTTTRTTCAAAGAGGTATAACACGTGGAACAGACTTGAACAGTTACACTAGGTGTATAATTCTAAAATTATCAAATTCATATTAGCAAGATATAAAACGAAAACAAAATAATAATTAATTAATTTAATTAAAAAATAAACTATATAATTGTGTTTACCTGTAGTATTGTTTTCAAATTACTCTCATGTTTAATTGTCGACATTTTCAAGTCTCTTTGTCACCATAAACTATCGCAAATGACACACGAATGACCAAAAGAATTATACGTAAAGTCTTTATTAAAATCAAGATGACTTCTACTGGCCAAGTCTCATACACTGTGTAATTTTATCATATCCACTATCCAGATATAAATATATAAATGTATATTATATAATATAAACCGTATAATTATTAATTATAGGTACATTATTATTCCTTGGAAATATATCTACAAACAATAGCCGCTGACAGCGGACCTTCGACCGCAGATAGCACGGTATGACAATAYGGTTCGMCGCRCGGTAGACAGAGAGGGGGATTACGGGATCCCGCAGGTAGTGGTCACGCTTTTTCGTTACGAAAAACTTTTTTTCAGTCACTACACCAGACCTGCGATAAAAGCTATGCAATAGCTTAAAAAGAAACAAAAACAAAAATATAACAACATGGCAACATGTTAAATTATTGATCATCATCGACATAATTAGGGAACCAGTTTGCCATTAACTGTTTTTGTATTCTCATTGCAACCACCCTTGGTCCTCTTCTATCTTCAATTTCATTATTTTCGGTAATTCTATTATTTCCTCTAACTGGTTCTTGTTCAATACAATCTTCGAAAGGCTGAATAGGAAGACGATAATGAACACGCATGTTATGTATAATTTCGCATGCATTTAAAATTTTTCCAGCTGTTTCAGGTGCATACATCAAGACACGTTGATATGAGAGGCATCTCCACATACTTTTGAATACACCATAAAATCTTTCTACAATATTTCTGGCTTTGCAGTGTTTTTTTGTATATTGATACTGTCTTGTCCCTTCTGGATAACGTGTTAGTGGTGTTAAAAGCCAAAGCTCAAGAGGATAACCAGCATCACCTTGAAATAATCATGAACACATTTAAAAATCTTTTAATTCAATAGTTAGTGTTATTAATTATTTAATATCATTAGTACCAATTAACCATGTGTATCTTTCACCCTTATTGTAATGAAATTCCATAGCCCTCCGTATAGAAGAAACACTCCATATGTAAGAATCATTTCTTGCACCTGGGAATCTGGCATTAATATTTAAAGCTGCGTTTACACATCGGTCTCGATGTCGTGCTCAAAGGATTTAATTGATATTTGAGCCAAATTCGTTAGTCATATTCGAACGGCTTTTTCACGTTCCTGAGCCGAATCCAGTGCTTCTGTATTAAATTATTATTTTATTTAAAAAAAAAAACTTCGTCGAGCATGCCAATTACATAATTATACAGCTACAGATGTACCTATTTAATTTAAATATGATATGGTGATGAAAGTATGAAACCAATGAATGCCTAATTACTTTTTAAATTAATTTATATTATTGTTATTAGGTCCCTACATTAAATTAACTAAATATAGGTAAGTAGGTAAATACATTGGTAAGTGTATGGACACTAATATTAAATATAATTTATAGTATAAGTATTAAATCGGATTTGTTTTTTTTTATCAAACAACTATTATTTATTATAACCATTATACTATTTATAAATCCTATAAAACTATATGCAATATTTTATATTATGAAAATAAACATATTTTCATATACCCGTAGTTCTATTTTAAAATAATTGTCCAGTGTATTGTGATCAGTGTTATTTTCATTTGTCGTAAAATCGTCAAGATATAGTTTTTATTAATTTAGTATAGTTTCAATCCWGTAACAGTACAGTGATCTGACGAAACTTTTAGTGCACATTTATCGAGTGATCCAAAGTGCTAAAATGTCGAAGTCCATTTCTGATTGGGATCGCGAAAAGTACTTAAAACTAATACAGATATTAGATATACGAACAAAATCCCATATTATGGGATGCTCAAAATGCACAGCATTTTAATAAAAATTTAAAAAATGACGCATGGTTGAGTATCGCAAATCAAATGGATGAAGATGAAGACATTGTGAGAAAAAAAATGAACAGTCTTAATGGATCATTCTGACGTGAGAAATCCAAAACAAAAAACTCTATGCGCACAGGAAAAGGTAATAAATGTATAATAAAGACGTGCTCTATAGTCTATATCATAATTATTATAATTGTTGGATCATTTCCAACGCAATATTTTACATTATTTTATCATTCATAAATTGTTAATAAATCTAGGCCTAGATGAAATATATAAATCTAAATGGTTTGGATACGAACATATGCAGTTTTTAAATGATAAAGATGAACCAAGGAAAACCATAAACATGAGTTTAAAGTTAATGTTGAATATTGAAAAAATAGTTACTAGGACACCAGGGTACCAGACATTTTTTAGGGCACTATTTGATGTGTTTGTGATATCAGAAATTTCCAAAAATAATATTTAAAAAAAAGTTATTACGTTCTAAATRAATTTAATCAAAATATATTAATATATTAAAATATTCTAAAAATTAACTACATAACTTAGAAAAATGTTTTTATCATCAAAATTGTTCTTATAATCAGATTTATAAATTGGATATTTTTAATTTAACCTATTTGAAATATTTTAATATATATAGTTATAAAATCTATACTATAACTATGGTGACCAGACGTACTTTTAGATTCTGAACGAAGTGATGAATGTATTGATTTTACAATGATGTGTGTTTTTTTTTTGTGTGTGTCTGTGTACAGCATAACTAGTCGAAATAATGCTTCGATTTCAAACTTTGGGGGTGGTTTCCGATGTAAAATTAGGAATTTTTTACTTTTGACCCCCCAAAGTACCAACTAGATTCACTTTCTGATCGAACTAAATTTAAACTAAAGGTACTGAAGTCAAAAATTGAAGAACTTTTACTGCCCCAAAACGTGATGACAGACACAAAAAAAAAACACACACACACACACATCATGGTAAAATCAATACATTCATCGCTCCGCTCAAAATCTAAAAAAAAAAACAACTACACTATTTAAAACTTTAAGATCATTATTTTTTATAAACCATTTTTAACGTATAAAATTCTTAAATCAATAATACAATTAATGCAAATATTAAGCATAATCATCTTGCTATGTCACTTAGCATTTGACATAAAAAAATCGGCCAACTCATTCCTGATTTCTTCTACCGTGGTTGTATTTCTTCGTGGTACATTTCTTATGGGTAACATGGACGTCATCCCATCTTCATTCAATCTCCAGTTACCTGACATAATTTCACCGTTCTCTTCAAAATCAAAAGTGCCCGGTGGCGAGTAAATGTTTTTTGACGCTGCGCTTTTTCTTAAAAAATTATGTAGGTGAACGATTGCCATAACTAAAATTTCTGCCGTTTCGGGTTGTAATAATAATGGTTTTCGTAAACATCTTAAAACTGATGATACAATCCCAAACGCATTTTCAACTACTCTTCTTGCCCTACTGAGTCTGTAATTATATATTCTTTTAATTGAGCCTTTAGGATTGTTACCAGTATATGGTTTCATGAGGTTTTCGCCTAGTGGAAAAGCTTTGTCACCAACAAATACATACGGTATAGGTATATTTCTACCATGTAAGGGTTCTTGATCGGGTAAATTTAAAGATTTATTTTGCAGTCTTTTACAGAGTTCAGTATTTTGAAATAATCTACCGTCAGAAATTCGACMTTGGCACCCAATGTCCACAAATAGGAAATTGTAATTTGCGTCTACTAAGGCGAATAAAACTATACTAAAAAATGACTTATAGTTATAGAACTCGCTGCCACTCTTAATTGGTGCTTGTAGGACTATATGTTTCCCATCAATAGAACCCAAACAATGTGGAAAATTCCAATTTTCATCAAAGGCTACAGAAACATTTTTCCATTCGTCTTTATTAGATGGCATCTAAAAAAAAAATGAAAAATAAAAACAGGGGAATTCGCTCATTGAATAGCTCATAGTATTGTAATAGCGTATTTACTATTTTCATTTTTTTGGAGGGATCGCAAAATGTCCCTAACACAAAGTTATATGGGTTACATTTATAATAATTTTTTATATCCGAGTATAAAAATAATTTTCATTATTAAGGGGTCTTAAGTTGTTATTGGTGTAATTAAAAAAAAAGTTGAACGTACATTTACAATAGTTTATAATGAACGCCTGACCAACTGCGTCAAAATAAAAAAAAATTGCAATACATTTTGAATTAGAAATTAATAAAAAAAATTGTTTTGTATCTAAAATTTAAATATTTACTATAAAAATCATCAGTAAAATGTTTACCGAAAAGTCAAATACATTTTTAATAAGCATTTAAAGTTAAAATATGCATTTATTGGCTATTTATATAATATACTATATAATGTACCTTTATCWTTATAAAATAAATATAAAATCAAATTATAACATCTACCATAAAAGTATAGTATGTTAAACATGTTTTTTAACTTTACACTTACAGAGTATCCGTGAAACTCAAAATGTTGAAAATTATGAAACGGATCTTATGAATACATCTGAAGCCATYTCTGAACAAGATCATGAGGAAATTGTAGTTGAGGATATACAAAACGTGTCAAATGAATATTATGTTTCAAATAAATCAAAAAAAAAAAA